CACCTGTATGAAGCAGCGCACCTGTATGAAGCAGCTCACCTGTATGAACCAGAATATATTGTTGAACTCGCCGCCGGGAAACGGTGGAGCGCTCCCCCAGGACCCAGCACCGACAGCCGGCCGCCGGACGCTCCGCTTCGGATGCCAAGCCGTGTCGTAGTTCTCCAACAGCCAGGAGGTGAGCCAAGCCAGGACCAGTCCGAGGATAACCAGGGCACCGAACAGCTTCAGCATCCTCCTGCGGTGGTGACACAGGGGGCTAGCTGCCGCCGTCTTGTCCACGACACAAATCAAGCTAGCTGCAGCTAAAGGGATGGACCACCAGCACACTGAAGAAGCCACAAGCGAAGGCTCGCGCCGTTTCTTCCGCTGCCGCAGGACGTGCGTGGAGGTGCGTGGCTCATTCACGGCTCGGGTTCAGCTGCCTTCACAGACCGAGGAGGAGGAGACGGAGGAGGAGAAGGGGAGGTGGAGGAGGAGGAAGCTGGTAACGGAACCCGAGCCGTAGTGTGGCTCATATGCGCATGCGCTGAAAGGAATACTTCCAGGTCGCACGGATCTCCTTGAATATGCTGGATTAAGAAAAAATGTACCGGTATAATTCCGTTTATGAATAAAAACGGTCTTAATTTACTTAGAAAGGCATGTGCTCTATCTCCGCGGATTGTCATGTTGCTTATTACGTCACAAATCGTCGCCATGTTTCTGTCATGGTTAAAATGATCTGCAGCTTCACCACTGGGCGGCGCTGTTTCACCATGGAAACCATTCATCCTGTACCTGGCAGGTACAATAATAATCATCATTTTATTTAAAAAGCGCCTTTCATGACACCCAAGGACACTTTACAGTAAGAACACAGATCAACAGAAATACATTACATAAAGAATATAAAATACATACAGAATATAAAATACATACAGAATATAAAATGCATAAAGAATATAAAATGTATAAAGAATATAAAATGCATAAAGAATATAAAATGCATAAAGAATATAAAATACATAAAGAATATAAAATGCATAAAGAATATAAAATGTATAAAGAATATAAAATACATAAAGAATATAAAATGCATAAAGAATATAAAATGTATAAAGAATATAAAATGTATAAAGAATATAAAATGCATAAAGAATATAAAATGCATAAAGAATATAAAATGTATAAAGAATATAAAATACATAAAGAATAT